TGCAGCTGCTGCTCCAGCTCGCTGCTCCTGCCGGCGGCGGCCTCCGCCTGCCGCTCCGCCTCGAGCTGCGCGTCCTGCGCCGCGCTGGTCTGCGCGCGGCTGAGCTTCCAGGCCTCGTCTAGGCGCAGGAGGCCCTGCATGGCCTTCTGGTAGCGGCCGTCCAGCGCCTGCAACTCCGCCTCGCGCGCCTTGAGCGCCTGCTGCGCCTCGGCCAGCGCCGTCTGCAGCGCGAAGGCCTCGGCCTCCAGCTCCGCCGCCGTCGTGTCGCCGCCCACGCGCAGCCGCAGGCGCTCGCGCAGGTGCGCCGTCTCGATCTTCATGTCCATCAGCTCGCGGGCCATGCGCTCGGCCTGCTGCTGCTGCGAGCGCAGCCCCGCCGGGCCAGCGGCGGCGGCGGCGTCTCCACGCTCGGCCATGATCCCAGTCTGTGAGATGAGATGCCGAAGTTTTGAATTCAAAACGCCCGCCCCTTTTCTGGCGCCAAGTTTCCGCGACAACGGCTGCTACTACTGGCACAGTTCAGTCTGGGCTGCATCTACTGACTGTGCACAGTCCAATCTGGGGTATGGAGTCTGCACTCGTTTTCCTTGTCACAGAGTTGGGGATCAAAGGCTTTGATTCAAAGCTCCTGTGGGTATCGTAGATGCTTGCTTTTGCCATGAGCTTAGCCGCTCGGAGCGTAGTTCCAGCAGGTATACGTACCCCACTGCGCTGAGAAAATTGCGTCCAAGTCCTTGGCGAGCGCGGCTGCTGAGCCCGTTGCTTGATTGTTAGTTAGGCTTGAGTTGCTCGAGCTGCCCTTGTAGTTTCTTGTCCAGACTATCGATGCGGAGATACGTCGAGCCCCGGGGTGGTCATCGCACTGAGATCTGTCACCCCTTGGTTCAGCGTTCGTACTGCGGCGTCCGTCGTCGGTGTATTTGCTGGTCCCAAGTACAGTGTAGAGACTTCCTGCTTTTCTGAGGAATCCACTGTTGTGCAGCCGTGTGGTGATAGAGGACCCACCCTCGCGTGGTCAATTTGTCCTTAGTGGTGTGCGGGCCGAAGTGGATGTTCCAGACATCTAGGTTTGGAGCATCATCGTCTTCGTTCAGCGTCATCATGAGGCTGTTACAAATTTCAAGACAGAAGCCTTGAATTCGCTTTGCCGGTTGTTGGTTCCACGCACTAGCAATCGCTCGCGCCTGGTAGGCAGGCTCCTGCTGTCTTCATGGCCGCCCTGATCTCTCTTTCGTTGGTTACTTTATCCTTAAAGACTGCGTCATTGCGAAGCCTCCAGAGTAGCGCTGGTGTCACAGTTGCCCATATCTGCCACAAAAGCTTCAGTGGTGAGCCCAAGAAGTCCGGGGCGCTTGTGATTGGCCAGTTTATTTCTTGATAAAACTCTGCATTGCCCAAGTCGATATGCTCGCGGCTTCACACGAATCGGATGCAGTTGAGCTGGTAGAACGCTCTACTTCGTTGCTTTCGTGGGGAGGTGGGTACGTTTCTCGCAAGTTCCTTGTGGCTTCTGCTGTACCAGTCTGTATGGTGTTGAAGGCAATCTTCTCGTCTCTCAGCAGACAATGGAGCGCAATGCAGTGTACTACCCGAGGCGCCATAAATTTCATTTCCTAAAACTGGAGGCCATACTCACAGCACTTTACTCGTGCCCAGCATTGCAGTAGGAGAACTCACGCTTGAAATGAAATGTAATATATGTAGTAGTATGTTTTGAAATGCACGGTACTCTTGTCCGTTCTTCTCAGCTAGGAAAAATGCATTCTCGCGACGCTTGATTAGGCGGCGGTCGTACTGGAGCCGCTCTTGCTGGTCAGCTGACGCGTCGTGGACACTCGCTTGGTGCCGCGGGGCGACGTGATCTCAGTCGTGATGACCGTGAAGTCTCCCTCAATCGCGATCTTGCGGGTCGTGGTCGAGCCAGCGATGGCGGTAGTCGACTGCGTCCTCATGGGCGACGACGAGTACGAAGTCGTCGTCTTGGTCGTCACGGGGGACGAGTACGACGTCGTCGTTGACGTCGCGCCCCGAGTCACCTTTGCAACGGAAGGCGAGGCGAACCCCGCGCTCGCACTGCTCACGGACTTGGTTACCTTGCTCGACTCGGGGGACGCGTACGCCGTGATCTTCAGCCCCCGCGTCGCCTTCGTCGGCTGCGGCGACACGAAACCCGCCGCAGGAGAGCCGCTTATCGGGGATGCGAACGGGGACCTGATGGGAGATCCCTGGGGGAAGCGGTGCTTGAGCTGACGTCGAAGGGGCGAGTACGCGGTACTCAACCGGGCAGTCGAGCCGCTGCGGGCAGGGCTGCCGACTGGAGTGCTCGTTCGAGACGGCCCACCAGCGCCGGGGGCGCCCGTCATGAGCACCATGTCGTCGGAGAACTTCATCATGCCGGAGAACATGCGGCTGCGGCGCAGTTGACGCTGGTTGTTGAAGCCTTGGATCATTGTGACCTGGTGGTGCAGCTGCTGCTCCTCTGTCAGGTTCAGCAGGTAGTCGGCCATGTTCACGCCCGGAGCGCACACGAAGCCGAGCTCCTGGAAGTACGCGATGAGCGACTCGCCCGTGCCGTGGAAGAGCACTTCACCGTTCTCCAGAATCAAGACGTCCTCGTAGTACGCGCACTTCTTGGGCATCACCTGCAGCACCGAGAGAACGAACTCCGCCCCCATGAGCTTAGACCCGTCAGGGCCATTGCGCATGTGGGAGACCTCGTCAATCACCAGCGTTCGCTTGAACTTGCCGACTCCGAGACCCAACTGCTGCACCGCAACACCGGGGTAGTGGAAGGAAAGGGAGCGCGCGATCGTCCAGGTAGCCCGCTTCTCTTCATACGTGCCAGCGTTGAAGAATCCGTCCTCGAAGCTCACCAAGTTCTGGTCACAGAAGTCACGAGCAAAGTTGAGCAATTCCTTCCTGGGCATGGTCTTGGACAGGCTCCTTCCGCGACGCTGGACGTACGACACGAACTGGGGCAGCCAGGTCTTTACCAGTCGACGGCGCTTCATGTTCCACCACGCAGAACCCTTGCCAGTTCTCCCAGCCGTGCTCACAGCGAGCTTCTCTTCCCAACTCGACTCCGCCAAGCTTCGCTTCATGCCGTCCGTCCCAACTACAGACGCAACATTTATCACTCCAACATCCGAAGTATCGTCCTCCTCGCGAGTCTCCGTCTCAACAGTCGCGCTCGTCTCGCCCGCCACGGTCTTCGTCACGGTCGTCGTCTGCACCTCGATCAGGCGCTTCACCAGGCCGCTGGAAGTGGTCACCTTACGGATCGTCGTGCGAACCGTCTTGGTGATGACGCTGCCGTTGGCACCCGTCGTACGGAACACCTCGGTCTTCACCGTCGCGCCAGCAGCGCCGTCCTCGTCCGTCTCGTGCGTCGTCGACGAGCTAACCAGAGTCGCATCCGACGTCGTCGTGGTCGAGCTCGTGGCACTGCTGTCATCGATCTCCTCGCGAGTCTCCGTCTCCACAGTCGTGCTCGTCTCGCCCGCCACGGTCTTCGTCACGGTCGTCGTCTGCACCTCGATCAGGCGCTTCACCAGGCCGCTGGAAGTGGTCACCTTACGGATCGTCGTGCGAACCGTCTTGGTGATGACGCTGCCGTTGGCACCCGTCGTACGGAACACCTCGGTCTTCACCGTCGCGCCAGCAGCGCCGTCCTCGTCCGTCTCGTGCGTCGTCGACGAGCTAACCAGAGTCGCATCCGACGTCGTCGTGGTCGAGCTCGTGGCACTGCTGTCATCGATCTCCTCGCGAGTCTCCGTCTCCACAGTCGTGCTCGTCTCGCCCGCCACGGTCTTCGTCACGGTCGTCGTCTGCACCTCGATCAGGCGCTTCACCAGGCCGCTGGAAGTGGTCACCTTACGGATCGTCGTGCGAACCGTCTTGGTGATGACGCTGCCGTTGGCACCCGTCGTACGGAACACCTCGGTCTTCACCGTCGCGCCAGCAGCGCCGTCCTCGTCCGTCTCGTGCGTCGTCGACGAGCTAACCAGAGTCGCATCCGACGTCGTCGTGGTCGAGCTCGTGGCACTGCTGTCATCGATCTCCTCGCGAGTCTCCGTCTCCACAGTCGTGCTCGTCTCGCCCGCCACGGTCTTCGTCACGGTCGTCGTCTGCACCTCGATCAGGCGCTTCACCAGGCCGCTGGAAGTGGTCACCTTACGGATCGTCGTGCGAACCGTCTTGGTGATGACGCTGCCGTTGGCACCCGTCGTACGGAACACCTCGGTCTTCACCGTCGCGCCAGCAGCGCCGTCCTCGTCCGTCTCGTGCGTCGTCGACGAGCTAACCAGAGTCGCATCCGACGTCGTCGTGGTCGAGCTCGTGGCACTGCTGTCATCGATCTCCTCGCGAGTCTCCGTCTCCACAGTCGTGCTCGTCTCGCCCGCCACGGTCTTCGTCACGGTCGTCGTCTGCACCTCGATCAGGCGCTTCACCAGGCCGCTGGAAGTGGTCACCTTACGGATCGTCGTGCGAACCGTCTTGGTGATGACGCTGCCGTTGGCACCCGTCGTACGGAACACCTCGGTCTTCACCGTCGCGCCAGCAGCGCCGTCCTCGTCCGTCTCGTGCGTCGTCGACGAGCTAACCAGAATCGCATCCGACGTCGTCGCGCCCGCAGTCGGCTTGCGCTTCGGCTTGCGGTGCTGCTTCGACTTGGGCTTCTTGCCCTGCGTCAGCTCGGTCTCCTCCACGGTCTCCTCCACGATCTCAGTCGTCTCGATCGTCTCGATCGTCACCTCCTCCGTCACCTCGCTCGTGGACGGCACCTCCTCGGTAGTCTCGGTGGTCACTTCCGTCACCTCCGTGGTCTCTTCTTCGGTGGTCGTGCCCGCAGTCGGCTTGCGCTTCGGCTTGCGGTGCTTCTTCGACTTGGGCTTCTTGCCCTGCGTCACCTCGGTCTCCTCCACGATCTCGGTCGTCTCGATCGTCTCGATCGTCTCGATCGTCTCGGT